TATTAACTAGTTGCTTATTAGCATGCCTGTTATTAACATATTGGCTGTTTATTAGAACTTATAAAGCACATATTCTGCATGACCATATTCTACATCCCTAATCCTACCCAATACCTAAATTTAACTACTTTACTAACTATTAATAAGCAGCCAATTAGGATTTTATTGAGGCAAAAGTCATAGTTAATGGTTTGTTAATGGCGAGAATTGGACCTGAAAGTGTGACCATATATTTTTATAATGTGCGTGTAGTATGTTTATGTTTATTATATTTAATGTAACTTGCAAATAGAGCTTTGAGCAATTTTGGGTCAACTATACAATACGCTAATTTATATATGGAGATAACTGGTTTAATATTCACTAAATAAAATATAAATTTTTCTTATTTACAATTTTAAAATTTATTTTTTTATACATTATTTATCAAAAACATACCTTTTTTAAGAAATGGTTTCTGAGACATCGTGGAAAGAGCTACATCAATATCAAAACCTGTGGTTGTAAAAGTCAGTTGCCAACCCATTGCCCATTAAACCGGCAACAGCACTGGACCAGACCACGAGGGAGAGAGGAAGAAGATGAGGTGTGGTGCGTGTGTGGGCATTGTGGGTGTGTGCTGACCTGACGTTGACGCACCACCTACAGAAGTCATTCTTCACCCTGTCGGGGATGTTGACCTTCACTGTCAGAATCTTCAGATTCTCCCCACGGTTAATGGCTAACGTCTGAAACAAGAGCGTAACCTGTAGAGACAGCCGACACAAGGCGAGGCACGGTAGCGCACCATCGGTCCCACCCCCTCCCGTTCTCTCCTAAAACTAGTCAGTGCGCACCAAGACGCACTCGTGTCGCAATGAAAAGCTCCGTGCCTCTCTCACTTTTCCCTTACTGGCCCTCTAAGGGAAAGTGACATGCTGTGAAGCAAATAGTTTTAAGTATCTGACCTTTTCTGAGGAAAATCTTTTGAAAGGAAACAAGAGGAAAAAGATGACCCATCAATCTGGACTCCAAGCGGAAGAACCGAGCTGACAAATGCCACCAACCCCCTACACAAAACACACACCCCACCACAGAGCAGGCAACCACCCCCTCTGCACCACTCAACAGCTAATGGCCTGATCAAGACGTGAATTAATGCAGCCAGAAATATGATGAAAATTCAACACCCTAAGGCAGCTGTTTACTTGGGTTTTCTCATGCGATGTTTATCGCATTTGAAGTTTTGCATGAGATGAGGGAAATGTCAAAACAAGTATCAAACTTTTCTCCGTTCCCTGTGTCATTTCAAACTTGGCCTTGTGTAGTTAATGCATATCTATTAATGCATATATTAGACTGGTCTGAATCATGCCATGAGTAAAGTTACAATTGAGAAGAAACATAAATACATTCTAAAAATACATGTGAGCATAGCTTTGCAGATTAATGGAGGAAAGATTTCTACCAATAAACAGGTGTCAAAAACAGGCCTCACAAATCTAAAAAAATTCACACTGCCAGTATTACAATTATGATTGTCACATACAGTCCAGGACATGACATTTTAAAAACATAGGAGGGGGAAAAGTTTAGTCTAAATATTCAACATATCATATTCCTCAATAACAATGAAATCATAATTGGAAAAATATGAGGAATGTAAGCGACAGAAATGAATATTATTTTAAAGACTGAGCTATTCTGATTCAATATTTTTTCTCCAAATAAAGTCAACGGCATTGCCATAGACCAGAGCGATAGAGGATGGCCTCTACAAAAACAGAAAGAATGGGTGAACTTTTCACTTCCTATTTTTGCATGTACAGAAAAACAAACATACACAACATGGGGCTCAGAATACACCAACGATCATTCGCCATACAAAATAAATATGAACTCTTTCTTTAATAAAGGCCAGCTTTGTTTTACAAAACCATTTGATGTTTAGCACTGATTATATTGTAGTCAATCTGTCATAAGCTCAAACAAACAAGCAGAAAGCAAGACCACATTCTATTTGTTACTAATTGCCAATTTGTAGATTTTTCAGCTGCACTTTTAGTGAGCGTGCTAGAGGAAGAAAAAAATGTATTCAATTTGTATTTGTCTTTTAATGAACTTAAAAAAATTAATTAGTCTGGTGCATTTTGACTCTAGAAATGTATGTTTACAGCATGGATAAGACTTCGAGGAAATCATTGGGAAAATAACAACACTCATTTTCATCAATATAAATAAAACTTTGAGGTTTTTTTTTTTTAAATGTTTTACAAAATGCCATATATCACCCAGAAAAAGCCTCTGAAAGCTTAAAAACGTAGGCTTCTTATGGCCACAGAAGTAAAATAAATAAATAAATAAATAAATAATAAAGAAACAAAAAATAGATTATAATTTGGCTATGGTGAGATGTACAGAAGTGCATAGAATGGAAAAGTTTAATAAAAAAAAATTCTAAATTGTTTATTAAAATATTGATAAAAGAAATAATTGAAGCAAAATTATTTTCAACCAAAATTAAGCAAAATATAAATATACAATGCATTTAAACATCACTTTCAAGTTATACTTATTCGACATGCTTCTGTCTTTAGTCTTTTCATGGTTCATCTACCAAAATGCCATGCAAAATAATATTTTACAACAGATAATTACACTGCTAGTGTAAACAGTTTGATCATTAACTTGGGGAAAAACATTTTAAATTCTGCCTAATTTACAGATTAAGCGTCAATGTAACCTCTAGAGTCACTAAAACCCAAAAAAAACTTTCACCAACCGCTTCATATGATATGAACATATGGAACCCACACACACACACATCTGTCCTTAATACACTCTCACAAGTAATGTGTTAAATTAAACAAGCAAGTATGTGTGCATACACATGCCTCCTGTCAAAATACATTCCACGCTCTTCCACGAAAAGGTTCATTTTAGCCGGAGTGTGACAGCTCACAGGTCACGGCAAACTCAAATTAACACTCACTGACAATCCACGTCAGCAGATTAACAACGGGTAAACTGTATGCTTCACAGGAGATCTCGCCGCCACTCATTCACTCACTCATACGGCCCGTCTTTCGCTCTTTGTCTCTTTCCCTCTCACCCTCGCGCCCCTATCCCCCTCCTTTCTCACAGAGCCCATGAGCAGCTGTCATCATGAAGCTGTGTCTGTCAATCCTAGCCTCTAATCCACAGGCACGTGGACGGGGACGTGTCACATATGTTAAGAGGGGGAGATCGGGAATGACTGGGGGACAGGGAACGGGGTGAGAGAGATGAATAGAGGGAGAAAAGGATGACAGAGTCACTGTGACATGTGGCCCACAACCAACTCTGAGTAAGCGGGTACCCGTGAAGTGAGATAGGGGGGAAGGGGACACCATTGACACAAACACATACAGTTAAACAGCACTGACAGAAGAGCTTTGAAGAGTGGCACAAGGACCTGTGTATACGGCACAACACTGTCAGTGTATGTGTGGACTGGTGGACTGTGTCCGAGTGTGTACATATACACTAGCTGTCAAAGGTTTGGACACACCCACTCATTGTTTATTAGGACTATTTTACAATAATACAACAGTCATCAAAATTAAATAACACAAGCGTGGGAATTACGTACTGATTAAAAATGTTCAATAAATCAAAAATTCCACTTCTTCATGAGGTGCATCCTGTGATGCTTTTTACACAGTATTGACGATGTTCACATTTATGCTGGACACTTGTTAGCTCTGATCTATTCCAGCTTTTGTTTTTCAAAGAAATTCATGTGCAGGCACAATTCAGTTTATATTCGTCTTCACAACTCGCACAAGCTTTTAGGATTTTCCCTTTAAAAGGTTTTTTAAGATAATTAGAAATGTAACTTTAGACAAGGTTGTTCAAAATATTTGACTGGTAGTTAATGCATAACAAGTAGTCATGGCATTTCAAGTCCTGAACACCAATATTTTAATTCAGATAAATTCAGATTTAGATTAGATTAATCATTGATCATGATTTTTCATTAGCACTGCCGCACTCCATTAGTGTATATTAGCTAGTTTTGTTATTGTTAACTAAAACTATTACAAATATTTGTAAAAATCTATAAAAAAAAATTATATATACAGTATATATATATATATATATATATATATATATATATATATATATATATATATATATATATATATATATATAAATAAAGTTGGAATAAAATAAATATTAGATGTAAAACTTAAACTTAAAAAAGCATTGCCTTTACAGTATATATATATATATATATATATATATATATATATATATATATATATATATATATATATATATATATATAAATAAAGTTGGAATAAAATAAATATTAGATGTAAAACTTAAACTTAAAAAAGCATTGCCTTAAGATTTATATGAATCTAAAATAAGATTAAGTACTAAAAAAAAATGTTAAAAAATTATTTTAAAGTTTTTATAAATATACAAAATAAAATAAAAAACTACTAAGAAAGCACGGAACCAAATACTATAACAAACTAAAACTAAAATGAAATATAAAAATATAAAATAAAAGCTCATTCAATGTTAATAATTATAATACAAATAATACTGATATTATTATCTGACCTAGAAGAGCGCTGGGACCCGGAAACAGTGACATGTGACGTCAGGTTTACCAAACAAGTAAGAATTTAAAATCACACTCATAATTTCCCAGACCCACTACACCTTCTTATCCCAATAATTTGCCGCTCTCTCTTCACTATTTATATTAATAAAAAAAGACAACCTAAAAAAAAGAAAACTTTTTATTTAGAACAGAAATTGAAATTTTAATGCAGATGAATGAAATAGCAGTTTCATCTGTTTCTCATTGTGGAAGAGGCTTTTGTGAAGTTTGCAATATCAGAGAGCAAGAAAGCAATATCAGTGCATATGATATTCCAATCTTCCAATTAAAAAAAATAATAATCTGAAAGTGCCCTGTCTGTACAGTGAATCTCATAAGACACAAGATAAAGAGGTGACCATACCTGATGGTGCTGGATGCGCTGAACATCACCGGTGAAGTCAATATACAGGCTGAACTTGGCGATGTCCTTTGGTTTGCTCTTCTGATTGCCCTGCTGTGGCTGCTGCTCTTTCAGGGCTGTTTTAGACACTGACGAGTGAATGGTCACCGAACTCCTGTCGCACCTGAGAATGAACATACATGCAGAGTCAAACACACACTTATAATTACTGACTAATTAAGGACTGACAGGCTAGAAAGATCCACATAATGCCAAAAGAGCAAAACAAACAGATTAACAGATAATAGAAAGATGATAATTAAGAGGGACTGGCTAGCAGGAGAAAAAGAGTGAATTTGCTCAAATAATCAGTGTCTCACAGTGACTGTACATAGATGAGAGTCTCTTTGTCCTTTGCAATCATATCTGCCAGGATCTCCTGCACACCTGTGGCCACCTCATCCAGGGTCGACAACCCTACAGACAGCAAACGAAACAGCTGAAATGTCACATAACAACATTCAGTCATCAGTGGCCCTGCATTAACTTGTGAGAACTGCTTTTTTTTGTGATGGAAAGTGTGGAATAGTTGCAAATTTTTACTTTTTTTAGAAGTACATAATATGTCAACCTCATGCACAAGAATGTGTATAAATGAGAGAAATGCCTAGAAAAACATGTCACAATACTGTTTATGTCAATACCTTAATATATCAACCCATAAGCATAAGCAGACAACAACACAAAAAAAACAAAAGTACTTTGCTGCCCTCTACTGACTCAATGTCTTTTATCAACCTTTTATTGTATTTAGTAATTAAGGCTGCAAAGACACAAAATGTAAAATGCACATTAAACAATACATGGAAGTGATGATGTTGGGACAATTAATCAGTTTCAAAAAGCATCAATAATGTTACACCTCAAAGGACACTGAGTTGTGAATGCTGCTGTACAATAAGGTAACCAGACGTGCCATTTTCAGGGAAAACGTCCTGCCCAGGATTTCTTAATTGCCTAAAATAACCAGTTTTTGACTGTTTGCGCTGCGCAGATAGATAGTTGTATGACCTCTAAGTACCGCGAGAGCTATAGAGAGCAGAGCAGATGACTCCTTATGCTTTTGAATCGCTCTCGCAGTACTTAGATGTCATACAACTATCGCAAACAGCCAAAACCTGGTTATTTTAGGCAATTTAGAAATCTTGGCCAGGACGTGTCCCCAGAAAACGGCACATCTGGTTGTACCTTACTGTACAAGCACTATTACAACAGGCTGGTTGCTGTAAGTATGCAAAGCACTGATAGATACCTTTAGTGTTGGGCTGGATCGAGGATTGCAGGTCCAGTTTCTGAGGTTCCTGAAGTAGAGCCAGTGCAACAGGTTCCAGTCCTAGCTCCTTAGCTCGTCGGGCCTTGGACAACTTACTGCCCTTTTTATAGGGAGCATACTAAAGAAAAAAATATTATAATATACTCCTGTCGCACCTGAGAATGAACATACATGCAGAGTCAAACACACACTTATAATTACTGACTAATTAAGGACTGACAGGCTAGAAAGATCCACATAATGCCAAAAGAGCAAAACAAACAGATTAACAGATAATAGAAAGATGATAATTAAGAGGGACTGGCTAGCAGGAGAAAAAGAGTGAATTTGCTCAAATAATCAGTGTCTCACAGTGACTGTACATAGATGAGAGTCTCTTTGTCCTTTGCAATCATATCTGCCAGGATCTCCTGCACACCTGTGGCCACCTCATCCAGGGACGACAACCCTACAGACAGCAAACGAAACAGCTGAAATGTCACATAACAACATTCAGTCATCAGTGGCCCTGCATTAACTTGTGAGAACTGCTTTTTTTTGTGATGGAAAGTGTGGAATAGTTGCAAATTTTTACTTTTTTTAGAAGTAGATAATATGTAAACCTCATGCACAAGAATGTGTATAAATGAGAGAAATGCCTAGAAAAACATGTCACAATACTGTTTATGTCAATACCTTAATATATCAACCCATAAGCATAAGCAGACAACAACACAAAAAAAACAAAAGTACTTTGCTGCCCTCTACTGACTCAATGTCTTTTATCAACCTTTTATTGTATTTAGTAATTAAGGCTGCAAAGACACAAAATGTAAAATGCACATTAAACAATACATGGAAGTGATGATGTTGGGACAATTAATCAGTTTCAAAAAGCATCAATAATGTTACACCTCAAAGGACACTGAGTTGTGAATGCTGCTGTACAATAAGGTAACCAGACGTGCCATTTTCAGGGAAAACGTCCTGCCCAGGATTTCTTAATTGCCTAAAATAACCAGTTTTTGACTGTTTGCGCTGCGCAGATAGATAGTTGTATGACCTCTAAGTACCGCGAGAGCTATAGAGAGCAGAGCAGATGACTCCTTATGCTTTTGAATCGCTCTCGCAGTACTTAGATGTCATACAACTATCGCAAACAGCCAAAACCTGGTTATTTTAGGCAATTTAGAAATCTTGGCCAGGACGTGTCCCCAGAAAACGGCACATCTGGTTGTACCTTACTGTACAAGCACTATTACAACAGGCTGGTTGCTGTAAGTATGCAAAGCACTGATAGATACCTTTAGTGTTGGGCTGGATCGAGGATTGCAGGTCCAGTTTCTGAGGTTCCTGAAGTAGAGCCAGTGCAACAGGTTCCAGTCCTAGCTCCTTAGCTCGTCGGGCCTTGGACAACTTACTGCCCTTTTTATAGGGAGCATACTAAAGAAAAAAATATTATAATATACATATATAAGTATAAGCTATTATTAGGTCACTCACAGTCAAAAACTGACCAAAAGGTCAAAGTTTCACATTAATAAGTAAGTTGAAAAGCTTGTTGTGCTCTGTTCTTACCACATGGTCTATTTCATTAGCCGTTGTGCAGTTCTTTAGAGCAATTTCCAGCTCTGAAGTAAGAACCCCCTCCTTCTTTAGTGTCTGAGAAACAGATCTGCTCTTCTTTGCCACTGACCTAAGAAATGTAAATAAAATTAACTCTGTGTGTTAACTTGTGTTATTAAGAGTTTTGATCCTGTTTGCTTTTCACTTTTCTTTCACGTTAGGAAAAGCTGATGTCTATTTAATTGTCAAGTTACACTACTGTACAAAAGTTGGTAAGAATTTGTAATGTTTTTGAAAGAAGCCTCTTATGCTCACCAAGGCTGCATTTAGCTGATCAAAGATACAATAAAAACAGTAATACTTTTCTAACACATTTTAAAAAATGCAATTAAGTCCTGTCCTGGCAAAGCTGAATTTTCAAACGCCTTTACTCCAGTCTTCAGTGTCAATGCTGAAAACAGTTGTGCTGCATTACATTTTTGTGGAAACAATTTGTGCGATACATTTTGAACATGTACTTTTTTTTTTTTTTAGAAATTTCAAAATATTTTGAGAAAAAAAACACTTTTCAACTGTAGTGTACATAAATAAAATGTTATTTAGTCAAATTAATCAAGAGAGAAAATTAGTAAACTTTGTCATTTTGTACAAAAGTTGGTAAGAATTTGTAATGTTTTTGAAAGAAGCCTCTTATGCTCACCAAGGCTGCATTTAGCTGATCAAAGATACAATAAAAACAGTAATACTTTTCTAACACATTTTAAAAAATGCAATTAAGTCCTGTCCTGGCAAAGCTGAATTTTCAAACGCCTTTACTCCAGTCTTCAGTGTCAATGCTGAAAACAGTTGTGCTGCATTACATTTTTGTGGAAACAATTTGTGCGATACATTTTGAACATGCTTTTTTTTTTTTTTTTAGAAATTTCAAAATATTTTGAGAAAAAAAACACTTTTCAACTGTAGTGTACATAAATAAAATGTTATTTAGTCAAATTAATCAAGAGAGAAAATTAGTAAACTTTGTCATTCAATCCAACTCTTTACAGAATCACAAGGCAATTACATGGAGAACATTACAAGATCTCTGCTGCCATCTTCAGGTCACATTTGGTTATAGCAGCCTAATCAAGGTAATTCAAGCTAAATAATAGCCACATTGAAATATCAGAATAGTTTTTGTGCCACTGGAGATATTCATCTACTAAAAGCCTTTTGAATTAATTGCGAGAAACCAGTCAGGGCGTACAAATAAAATCGATTCAAACTGTTTCTGTAAAATGGTTAATTAAAGTTAATTTTATCCAACAACCATAAAAAACAAAACACTTACTGTTTCCTTGAATATAAATATAGATTTAAATATTAAACTATATCAACTAAAGCATGTTACTTAAAATATAAAGTCAGTGCTAAATAGTAGATCAGTTTGAAATTGAATACAAATTACTTCCTTCTTATCTCCTTTTTTGTTGTTGTGCCCTTCCAGTGTCTTACCGTAACTCTTCAAGAGTCAGCTGCACATCTCGAACAGCATCGGCATCCATATGGTTGATCAGCTCCTTTCTATAGCGCACCATAAAGGGAATAGTGTTCTCCTCCAGGAAGAGCTGTACAATGTTTGCACACACCCACTGCTCCACACCAGACTTCTCAGCAAGAACCTACACGGGATATTAGAATGTGTCCTGTTTAATTTGTTTTCTAAGCAAAAATAATGACTATCATACGTTTTTACCATGATTTACCAAAGACACATGTCATTCTTTCTGTGTAACAATAGTTCACATACCACAAATATTGTTGAATTAAAAACTTTACCAATTCTTTACCAATCGCTAGGTTTTAAAGTTCTGAAGTTATTTGAAACAGTAAAGTAGACACTTTACTAGCATTTAATATGCTTTCAATGTATATAAAATTACTTAAATTTAATTAGATGTGGACAATAAAATGAGACATCTCATCTTTGACCCATATATACTTATATTTCCCTGTAGAATGCTGCAATTGACCATTCAGCACCAAGTATACCAGAAAGCACTCAAATAATTTACAATAGCAAATAGTAATACATTTAACAATGCAACAGATCTTCATTGTGATCTTCAGAATGTTACCAACAATTTCACGGAGTCAAAAACTAAGTCAATCCCTATCTCAGAAAGTAATAACCCACCTGAATGGGATCCCAATTCATCTGTAAGTCCTCCACACAGGAATTGCCCAATTTGAGTTTTATCGGTCTTCCCTGGGCTGAGTTTGTGGTCTTCTGCTTCTTCTGAGCAGGTTCATTAAAGGTGAAGCTGTCATCTGGCTCCTCTTTTTTCACCTTGGGGAAATGTTGACTGGATGATGGACACTCATCAGGCATATCTCCTGCATTATTTCTGCTCAAGTTAATGGACAACCTCTAAAATAAAACAAAAGGTTCAAATTAAATAAATGATTCGAGTACACAATGTTTGTGTTGGATAAATATATTTGAACTGTTGACGTCAGTCAGGGTAGTCAAGTAGTCATTTAGAAAAGCAGCTTGCAGTACACTTATTACAGGGTAATTACTGTTGCTGATTTCAATTACTTGCCAAAAACTATATAGATGTAGAATTGTGAATAAGTAAGAACAACTGTATACCACAGTCAAAATCAAAGCACAAGCATTATGACTTGCCTCTTCTTTGACTGCCACATGCTGCTGTAACTCAGGCTTCGGTAGAATCTTTGTATTAGTCTTCTCCTTCTTCACTTTGGGAACCCGTGCAGCTCTGGGCTTCCTCGCTGCTTTAGGTTTTGGCTCTTTAGGTTTGGCCACCCTCTTGGTCACTTTTTTCTTTTCGCCGGTTTCATCTGTCCCCCTCTGACGCCTTCCTTTAGTTTTGCCTTCATTTGAATTAGGTAACCATTCTTCTAACTCCTCACTGTCACCTTTTTGTTGGCCAGTCCTGTAACAAGAAACCAGTTTTATTTCATCCAGCATTCATGAAGAATAAGAAATCGAAGCTACAACTGTGGACTTTTTTACACAATTAAAAACTGTTAATTGTATTACAACGTCGATGCTTAGAAACGTTCTGTGCTTAAAGAGCAGTTTGACACACCAGTTATAATTCATGAGGGTGTTCAACACTGTTAATCTTCGGCAGAAACAGCCTAGAGTCCGTTTTACTATACACAATGTTGTATCTTCGCCTTGGAGGATAATCTGAAATAATAAAAAACTGTGTTGGCCTGAGCAAACAAAGCAAAACCACTCACATGTCATCAGATTCATCATCTGTCGCTGGTTCTGTATACACCTTTGCTGTTCTTGTTCTTCGAAGCATCTTTGTGAGGGAAAACAACGAATGAAATAAACAAGTAAGGATGCCTGGGATAATAAATAGAAACTCGGAAGTGAATATCTTTTCAACTCATTATTTGATGTACTAAGCTATACAAAAGGCGCTCGTGCGTGAGTATAAACAGAATAAGCTTCTCATAACGACTTTCAGACAAACTGAAATGAAAACTTGTCCGTCAGCTGTCACGTTAAATATATGAAAAGTATTCATGGCAATGGAAAAGCATGTTTAACTCTGTTGTGGTGAATGTTAAATCAAATGTCATCGATCAAAACGGTCTCTGTAGAATCAGAAAGTCATTTTGAATTTAGCGCGCGACCACGTACGTGTAATTAGCTGTCTGAGCTGTTGCTTCTGCAAATGAGCAGTGATTAAACCAGAGATGTTCACCTACATTAGTTGATTATTTACAAAACTGTTCAAACTTACAGTGTTCCTCTGACAGGCATCAAACCATAACCCGTTTCCTTAGCGACATCAGCAGCAGGAAGTGATGTAGCTAAAGTCCTCAAAATCTTAAAATATATAATAAAAGTTCTTTCGCAAATGTTTCCGCAGAAACGGGAGCTGTCCATGTTCTTTGCTCTTTATCCACCACTTCCGTGATTTGCACGGTTTGTTTTTCAATTATTGCCAAAATTGTGTAGAAAACATATAAATGTAGTTGGTTGTAAAAGAGAATAACTTTTACAATGTGACACTATGAAGATTACTTTACATTTGCAGTGCTTAAAAAAAGATATAGGCAATACAAGCTATTATTAGGACTAAAACTATTTAGATTAGTTTATGCAATTTATCAAGTGTTCATGCCATTACATAACATTTCATCTTCCATCAACAACAGTTGTAAGCAAAAGCACCAACCATAAAACATAGATCGCAATGTCTTGAATATAGCACACTAGGTCAATCAGACGTTTTTACACCCAGTCTCTGTGTGCGTGTCCTTTCTTAAGATCCCAGCAATGGACTTGGACTAAAATGGCACTTCTTTCTCTCTGCATCAGTACCATTTCTTCTGCATCTCTCCTCTGGCATCCATCATTTTTTGTTCCAAATATTGATGTGTTGTCATCTATAGTTTATGAATTTTTCTTAATTTCATTTGTGTATTTCTCCAGACTCTATTGACCTCAGCAGACCTTCAGATTTAGGGCTCAATCACACTATAAACATGTGGGAGTTTGGTTAGTTTTAAGACATTTGCAGTACACGTCACACATATACACCCAAAAACATAAAACAAGACAATAACAATTAATCATGTTTCGATATATTCTTTTATTAATGTTTTGAGGAACACTGTACCTGAACATAGATGGAAGGAGGCGCAGGGGAAGGATCTAGACTGGTATGAGAAAGCTCTGGGGGACGGATCGCCCATTTTCATCTACCTCCATGGCAGGAAACCTTTTAATTACCTTAAAACTTTTTTTAAATAGAATAAAAAGAATAATTTTTATTCTAGGACTTTCACTTAAAATTACATTTGTATTCCTTGATCTGCCTTTGATTATGTGATCTAGTACCAGTGTGTGGCAATAGGGCCTTTTGCACCACTTTAGTTCCAGTACTAAATGTACAGTACTAAAGTACTGGGACGATTCTGCGTGAACTATTTCCCAGTACCATTTAAAGGGTTGCATTCGCACCGAGAGTGTGTACTAAGAAGAAGATTGTAAATATTGTACGACTGTCTATACTTCACAGCCTCATTTTCATAATTTAAATTCAATAATGTGTCTAACCTGACTAAGGTCTTTAGACACTATGCAATATCTACACAATCTCTTTGCACAGAGATCAGTGATCTGACTTGAACTTCACACTGCTTTGCACTTTACCTTAGAAAAACTGGGATGAGCAACTGCAGCATATTACTTAATGTCCACATTCAATTCTTTTGCATCCTGACTATTTAAACAAAATATCACAGTCCAGGGAATCCAAATGTAACAAACAAACACAACCACATTATTATGAATTTGTTTACCTTAAAAAAGATTTCCATATATTGGAAATTCCATATACTAAATAAATAATCAATTATGCATTATACTGAAAGTATGTGCTTTGTTTTTTTTTCTTGATGCTCGCATGACTACTACTTTTTGTACCTTCAATAAACAGATCTGCACCCCATCGTATTGGAATTGCAAATGTGAGCAAACTCACTTATTTCATTATGAAGACAGACTAAGAACTTGAATAGTGGTAATGACTGGAGTGTCTTGGCCATACATGTCTTGAGTGCTGTTGGATATCACGTTTTGGCGCTGGACTACAGAGGTGGGTTAAAATGTTGTGACTTCACTGTAACCAATAATCATTGGAATTCATTTTGAACTTGATCTTCAGTATATGATTTCTCTATTGCTTACTGTCAGGTTTTGGGTACTCTACTGGTGAGTCTACAGAGGCAAAGGTAAAAATTCAACTGATTTAAAAACAAGCATGCTTTTGTTTGTCTCAGTGGCTCTTCGTTGTTGTTCTCTCACTCTTTATGTTTGGTTTTAGGAGTTGTCATTGTAGGGCATAGTAACTTCACCTATTTAATGTTTTAAAATCAATTTCTTGACTGTGTTTTTCTTTATTATGTATTTTTTTCTTGTTCAAAAAAACTTTCTTGACAGGAGAACAGTTTGATGGAATAATACTTGAGAAAGTGCATTTGTAACTGGACGGGTAGCAAGCGATCGACCTATTGAACACCCTTTTATTTGGGTAAGTAATGTTCAGGATCTTTAAAATTATGACACCGTTTTCTTTCTCCAGTTTTATTGGAAGTTCCCATACATTCAGTTCTTCCTTTTCAATCCACTTAAAAACTAAATTTTCGTCTTTCCAACTGATGAAAAGTATGTGATATTGTTTCACTAAATTATGCCAGTGTTACAGTATGTTAAATATTAAAATGTTATAACCCCCCCCCCCATGATTCTCCTTGCTGTAGATGACCAATTAGTGCCCTTTGCCTCGGCTAAAGAGGTTTGTGTATATGAAACTTGATTTACCTCATAAAAAAATAATTGGAAAATATAAAGTTTTAAGTGGATGCTGCACACTGGGGGTGGTCGAGGAGAGACCCCCCACACATGATTGTAAAGTGCTTTGGGTGTACAGCAATACACAATAAAGCACTACATAAAATGCCTCATTCATTAAATTACAATTTTCCTGGCTCAGATCTACAGAATTGCAAAAAAGGCCGAGAACTCGGATAAGGGGGTCAAACTGGTCCCATTTGATGGATTGCTTGGATACCTTCATAATGGGCTGTATAAAGACCCTGGTTTGCCAAATATCTTAAGGTGATTACACTCTCTGAAAATGTTGTGTGCATCTAAATATTACTAATTTTAAGATTAAAATAATACATAAGAGATATAAAAATGGCTTTAGAGAAAGAAAAAAAACAACTTTTGAGGAGTAGGCTATTCTTGCTAATGTTGAATAGTACCAGAATAAAAGCATGTTTTCTTTTGTGCAGTCACTGATGGCATGAGAGACACACTCAGGAGGAGGAGGATTTACAGCAACTAATAGCCAGCTAAATAGCTGTTTCATATAATTGGTGTTGTAACTGTAAATTTACATCTGTTTTAAACAGTATGCACTTCTAGAATAAAAACATTGTAATGTCTGATGTTTTTTCCCAGAATTCCACCAGTTGTTGTTAATATTTTTCAAATTAATTTATTTCGAGACATCAGTGGGAAAAAATTAGGTATTGGCCAAAATGCGACACTAGCTCTCCCAAAACAAAACAAAGACAGAGTTTCCCAAACAGGAGTTGACAAACCCCTGGGGGTTCATGAAGGAACTGCAGGGGGTTAGAGAGTTGATTAAAAGCATTTAAACTTAAATGTAAATTATAAAATTACTTTGGGGATCACTGCTATATGCTGAGGCGTTTTCCCAAGTCTTTAGCTATTCTAAAGGACAAACAACACACAAAAAACTGCATTGCCTGAAACCCGAATAATAATATGACAGCTTTCTGAGGTTTCACAACTCCTGTATGTTAACTTAAGCTATTTTAAAAGTCTTATTTTAGCAGTTTGAATAACAATGGTATTTAATGAATTGACGTTTAATTAATTAACGCGTTTTATAGTTTTAAACTAACAGTGACACATTTGCTGATTAGGCGTAACCTTTTGCTTCATTATTTGACGTTTCTATCAATGAGCACTCAAGTAGTGTGTTTTTACATCCTGCTAAAAAGCCGGCCTTTCCACCGCTTCTGTTTGCGCTCAGATGACGTGGCCAGGGGTGGCGAAGCGGAGGGTTTCCTTCCTCAACGTTGACTCATCGCTCTCTCCAGCGATAGGCTCACGGTACCCACGTGACCTCTTCTCACCAATCAACGGAAAACGCGCTGATAGCTCGCTGAACAGTTTTACGACAAACTCGTACGTGTGCATCTTAAGACAACCACTGTCATAGAACCAGGAAGAAGGAAGGTGGGATAGCCCCCCAAAAAGATTCCATCTCAAATCAGTCGCAGAATTTTCCCTAGAAAATAATGGGGCTCGGCAGGTGGACGATTGGAGTGGTTGTCCTGACGACTGTTTTTAGTTCATTGCTGCCAGTTCGAGCAGATGAACACGACCACAAGGTAAGATAAACTACGGGCCGAGAAGCCCTCTGTGCTCGGTGTGTATAGTCTCGAGAGACGTTAGATATTAGGCTGGTTGCTCAGACAAAATGTCTAACAGCAAAGGACCGAAATAAATCCAAAACAGTGGACTCGGTGTCTGATTCATTGTCCCGTGTCTGTGTTAGAAATGCTAAGCACATCAGAAGCTACGTGGCTAGCTTAGCATCAGCTATCCCATTACATTATGTTGTGCAAATAGGGCAGTGCTCGCAATCATCGGCTTCGTCTCCTCCTATGATGTATAAGTATAATGTTATTCCAGGCATAACCTCTCAATGTGTTTCGTGTACAGTGTGTTTCTTTTGTTTATGTGTGAGGTTACTCTGAAGGGTCGGCTAACCGTCGTTAGCTAAAATATGTCCGTCTGGACACACATATCCGGTTCGTCCAGGCTTTTTTTAATGACTGACAAACTGTAAAAGATGGTTACATTTATAGTAAAAGCCGCTAGAATTTTGCCTTAGAAATACAGTGTACGGGATGACAGTTTTATCCCGATGACATCTCGGTGACTGTATATTTTACAGTTCCTAGGTCTATGGTATTTAATCATAGTATGTCAATATACCAACCTGTCTAAGCTAATAAAATGTGTTTCTTGCTGTACAATGGTACAATTGAAGGCCGCATAATTTCTGTGGTCAGTAATTACACAATGACAGAGCCCTGGGTAACATGTATAACAATATCATAAAACATTAAAAAAAAGTACAGTTACATGAGCTGTATTTTAAAATTAGGATTGTTTTTTTTATAAGGCAGCTAACAATTAAGCAATTAACAAGTTTTTGTTGTAGCTTTTTTTTTTACACTTTACAAAAATATAAATGCAGTGTTTTATAGCCCTGATGATAACAATGTTTGCTTTGGATTTGAGACAAATTTAAAGTCGGCATGATTTCAACATTCAAATTAATCTAAATGCACAATTAGATCTTATGTTATTGTGAACAATTCATCTGAGCATCTTTTTTTTCTTTCTGACCTTGTAATTTTTTATCAAAATGTCATAACTGGAGCTCACATTCATCGATCTCCATTTTTGAGTTTAACGTGCACATCTCAAAATCCAATCAACAATGGATACAGAAAACCAAGACCCCACTCTACACTTTTTTCGATAACCCCGCCCCAGATTTTTTTGATAGGCTGTTACACTCGGATGTAATACAATACAGAAAATATCTGTATGCTTCCGTTTCATTGTGACTTTAAGTGCCCTAATGTGTCCAAATATCATTTGTGTCAGGACCTACTTAGACAGCATTTTGGGGGTGCATTTGAATGTCACTCTCCTGTCCTGAAGTTCCTTAATTCATCAGCATTTCGGATGTTGGCAGGTATATTCTCATTATTGAATAGAATTTGAACAACTGTGGTATGATGCATGATCAGACTAGTTGATTATGGGTATTTACTAAGATTGAATCTTATTACAGCCCCTTTTACAGCTTTCATATTATTATTGGAAGTATTCAGAACACACATAATCTGTAATGATGAATTACATAAAAGTCCTCATATGCTGTCTCAAGAGATCTGGGGATTTCTGATAATTAATGGGCTCCTTTTTGTTCAAACTGGTGGCAATGAGAATACGTGTGAACGTGGGAGATGGTGTTTAAGGTTTCATGAATACAAACATGCAGTTGTCTTGTTTTCCTCTTATTCTCATGTTCATTTTATTTAGACCAGTGCATCCAGTGTCGCGATTCCTGCTGTATTGCCCTTTAGATTAAAAAAGGATTGTGTAACACTACCTGATTTTCAGGTTCACACCCTATCTTTGCTGTGATTCTTTAGACTTGTAATTCAAAGAATTAAAGGACTCATTCACCCCAAAAAATGAAATCTTTACTCTGCATCAAGATTGTCTATATCCCTAGATCAGTTACATTTAATACCTAGTGGGTGACCTATTATGTCTTGTTATTTGCCTAAGGAAAGGGTCTTTCATTATGAATAAGAAGAATCCTTGTTAAACACACAATAGGATACCAATAACCACTGAAATTTGACAAAAGCATTGCTTCCAAACATCTCTGTCGTATGTTCTGTGTACTTTAGTCTGTAAATTCTAAAAACTGGTTTGGCAGCAGCTTTTGAATATGTATATCATATGAGCAGTCTATAAATCTTCCCTCGTCAGTAATGATAACTTTACACAGTTTACTCGGTTCACGTGTTGGTTCAACATTTTAGGCACACTTTTTTGTGCTGTTGATTGTAGTACATCATATTGGTCATTAGACAAAATTGTGTGCAGTAAGCCTATATTTTATATAAATAACTGGAAAATCTTTTGTATTTGAAGGCTTGATGTTAATTATGGAGTTTTCTCCACTGGAAATATCTGGTATTGTATTGCAGGAATTGCAGTACAATAAATTATCTATGACTCTTTATCTTTTTTTTTATCATTATTGTATAAAATTTGCTTGCCTGTCCACTTTTATCTATAGACTTAAGTGAAGTGTAATGTTGAACAGGTGAACCAGTATTCTTTTTTTGAAGCAGTTTGTCCTTCAAGAATGGTCTCTATTTTATTTTGTTTTTGCTTGAGGGATTTGGCAGCATCACAATCTCAATTTTAAAATCTATTTTCTGCCAGCTGACTTCATCTTGAATCAATGATGTAATTTTTATGGGTGTGCTTGAGCCCTGGACAGCATTCTCTGTGTGTGTGCGGGTTCAGGAATGATTGTTAGTTTGTTCTATTTGAAGAATTGCTTAAGAACAACATGCAGGCTAGTTTCTGTTTATTTTAAAACTTTTCAAATGGTGACATCCTGGAGTTGAATTAACATCACAAAGAAGTAGATGCTGATATTTGAAACAGATAGCTGATGACTGCTCTCTTTCTTTTGCAGTACAACGATAAAGAGGAGGTGGTTCTATGGATGAATACAGTGGGCCCTTATCACAACCGCCAGGAGACCTATAAGTACTTCTCCCTACCGTTCTGCGTGGGCATCAAGAAAACTATTAGTCACTATCATGAGACGTTAGGAGAGGCACTGCAGGGGGTTGAATTGGAGTTCAGTGGTCTGGACATTAATTTCAAAGGTATAGTCGTACGGTAATATGTCTATAGGATAATTAAACTGTATTAAACTGTCATACTATGTGATTTACGTTAGTAGTTCGTTCACGTTTTTGTTGGCTAGTAAGTATTATTGCTCTTTTGGTGATTGTAAGAATGCAATGTGGATTTGTCTTTTACAGAGGAGGTGATGCAGACAACATACTGTGACATTGAACTTGACAAGCCTAAAAGAGATGCGTTTGTCTATGCCATCAAGAACCACTACTGGTACCAAATGTACATAGATGACCTTCCCATCTGGGGTGAGTAACCAGGATGCCAATTCATATTATTACTGGAAGTATTCAGAACACACATAATCTGTAATGATGAATTACATAAAAGTCCTCATATGCTTGGGCTGTGCAAAAAATAGAATTCTAATAGTTGCTCATGAATTATTTAAGAAAATTTGATTATGGGAAGAAATTAAATTGGACTTTAACTGCCATGTGAGTTAGCTATATGCTTTTGAGATGTATCTTTGACTGTTTTGTTACTTCAATGATTTTTGAAGCAGATATAAATATAGATATAAAATATTGCATATAAACTGATATGCATAATAGTAAGTTTGTCTCAAAAGCTTGAACTTCCTTGGTGTAGTGAAATGTACTGAAAGAGCAGTTGGATTATTAAGTGTTCTAATAGTTGCTCATGAATTATTTAAGAAAATTTGATTATGGGAAAAATTAAATTGGACTTTAACTGCCATGTGAGTTAGCTATATGCTTTTGAGATGTATCTTTGACTGTTTTGTTACTTCAATGATTTTTGAAGCAGATATAAAATATTGCATATAAACTGATATGCATAATAGTAAGTTTGTCTCAAAAGCTTGCAGATGTCTCTGTCAGTTCTTTACTTGTGTGTGTGGTTTTGCACCTGACAGATTCACTGGTTCTCAATATTTAACTCTTTCATGATGGTGATTTTCCTGGTTGGTCTTGTTTCAATGATCCTGATGAGGACATTAAGGAAAGACTATGCCAGATACAGCAAAGAAGAGGAAATGGATGACATGGTGATCACTTTTGAAATGCTTTATTAAATGAGCCTTACAAACCCCATCACCTTTTAATTTATGCATGTCTGTGATGAAATAGTTTACAACCTTAAGGCCTTTCCACACTGAGCGCGATGTGAAAAAGCAAGGCGAATCACCGAGGAACGGTGCTTTCACACCAAGCGCGAAACGATTGTTCACCTTCTGCTAATTCACGCCTGCACGCTAGGTGGAGCCGACCAACACCACATTTTTCCTCCGATATGTATCTCGTATATGGATTTAACGTCGTCCGCTGCTCAAAATAGAGCATTAAATTAAGATAAACAAAGTTTGGTTCTACACCACAAACACTATCTATAATGCTTACAAGAATAGTCTACATCCTAAAATATAATTAGCATCACGCTACACTTGAAAATGTATGTAATTATTAATGTATTTGCTTACCAACTTTAAACCACCATTATTTTGTTTTTTTTGGTGCAGCAGACACATGCACTCTTTGTATGTTTAATAACGCTACACTGCTAATATGGTAATATAAAAACAATGACTGATGTGTTTTAGCTCTGATAACAGCTCCATGATTTAATGCTACGTTTCTCTCAGGGATGTCATCTTGCTCTTTACATTTTTTTTTTCAACTCAACTCACATTGTTTTTCTTTATCTCGATATCAGGATCGTGATCTCGGTGATGAATACGGATGGAAGCAGGTTCATGGTGATGTGTTCAGGCCATCCAGCCATCCGATGATCTTCTCCTCCCTCATTGGCTCTGGCTGTCAGATCTTCTCTGTTTCCTTCATAGTCATCATTTTGGCCATGATTGAGGACTTGTATACAGAGTGAGTTTCACCTATGATTTACAGGGCAATCATAAACTTATTGCCTATGCATTTGTTTAATTATCTTGTACAGAGCTGTAACAATAATGACTATGCATAATCACGATATACATTTGGACGTTTAACAGGTCATTTAAAGTCCTAGATAACATCTAGTGAACACATTTCCCTAAGTGCTTATTAAAGGAATTTTATGCTTGCCTCTGTCTCTGTAGGAGAGGGTCCATGCTGAGTACAGCCATATTTGTTTATGCTGCCACGTCTCCAGTCAACGGCTACTTTGGTGGAAGTCTATATGCAAAACAAGGAGGTATGCAAACTAATATGTAACTGTTCCAATAAGGAAAGCTCCAAATATCATTTTAACAATGTTAGCTATACATAAGTTATAAATGTAAGCATTTTAGGCCGATATACTCACAGCAAAGTTCTTTTTCATTCTTCATTAAAAAAAAAGTTTAAAATAACTTGGCCACAGTATACTGATGGCGTCCACATTGCTGGAAGCGGCATCTATATGAATATATAAATATGTGCTGCTCACTTTCCTCTCAATAACAAAATAAACATACAACAAAAATGGCAGGATTGAGAAAACAGCAGAAAGAATCTGATCATAGCCATCATAGATATATGTTTACTCAGCTCTGCAATCCGACACTCAAGTCGTCACATTTATTTATATAGCACTTAATACAATTGATTGATTTAAAGCATGAGAAATCAGTTAGAAATTAGAATCGAACTACTTCGATTTCTATAAAGTGGCTCTCCAGTGTGTTCATGCATTTTTACTTGCCTCTAACCTTGACGGACTGACCAGACGAAATAAACCAGAGAAGATTTCCATGTCAAGGAAGGCGGAGCCCCAGAGCCACACCTACCTGTTAGGTCATCACCATGGACCAATGGTAGTTTGATGGTATTTGTCGAACTTCTAAAACAAATTTAATTTTGGCCCGATTTTTATACATTTTTTTAAGAAATTACATCTCAGTCAGCACCGATGGCCTCGTGAGCAGCACGCCGACATGTAGCTCTGTTGCACTTTGGCCGTCCCGAGTTCCGAGTCCCGGCTCGTGGACCTTTCCCAATCTTATCTCGTTCTCTCTCAACCACTTCGCTTCCTGTCGACCTACTGTCTTATCTAAATAAAATAAAAAGTGACAAAATGCCAAATATAAATCAAAAAAAAAAAAAAAGAAATGTCTCGCATTAGTTGATTCTTCAATTTTGCTAGAAGTATACCAGGGCCTTTGATATAGCCTATCGAAGGTGTCCTAGGAATTGCACAAGGTGAAATTATGTACATCCTTTTTTGTTTCTTCTTGTTTCATTCAACTATTTTACATCATTTGTACAGGGAGGAGATGGATAAAACAGATGTTCATTGGAGCATTTCTGATTCCTGCCATGGTGTGTGGCACAGCATTCTTCATCAACTTCATCGCTATCTACTACCATGCCTCCAGAGCCATCCCATTCGGCACCATGGTGAGTTCCTCATCTGCCTTATACAGTCCTACATTTACATTCATGTACAAGTCAATCTCAGGCTGATTTTAGAAAGGAGATCAACTGCTAAGTAAGGAAAACAGTCACTTGAATATGTTATTTTGGACCACAGAATTTGGTTGTAAACACACTGGTATCATTATTTAGTTTCTAATCCCCTTGATATTACACTTAATAGCCTTAAAGCATTAATTGCTTGGTAAAGTACTTGTTACATCTGTTAAAATATCATGTTTCTAATTTGTTCGATCAGGTTGCAGTGTGCTGCATCTGTTTCTTTGTAATTCTACCTCTGAACCTGGTGGGGACAATTCTGGGCAGGAACCTCTCCGGCCAGCCCAACTTTCCTTGTAGGGTCAATGCTGTACCCAGACCCATCCCAGAGAAGAAATGGTAACCTCATCCATGATTCACACATCACAAACGGTCTCAAACATGCTCAGTTGTCTTGATATCAAGCCATATTCATCATCGTGTCATTGTTTCATTTTTGTTTTCTGTGACTACATATGTAAATATAATCTAATTAATTTGAATCTAAATATTGTAAATGTTTTCTGCGTAAAATGTAATTATCAATAGACATTAGATTATCGTTATTAAATGTTTCTCTGTTTGGCAGGTTTATGGAGCCGGCGGTTATTGTGTGTCTAGGTGGCATCCTTCCATTCGGGTCAATATTCATTGAGATGTAAGTCTTTAAATTGGTTCTGGATTTATATTTATACCCATAATTACTATGAATATCTATAAGAAAAAAAACGCCTCTCATCTTCCTTCAGGTACTTCATCTTCACATCTTTCTGGGCCTACAAGATTTACTATGTGTATGGATTTATGATGCTGGTGCTGGTGATCCTGTGCATTGTTACAGTCTGTGTTACCATTGTCTGTACCTACTTCCTTCTCAACGCTGAAGACTACAGATGGTAAGGAGCATTTACTTGCCATATTGCATTTATAATGCTATTTTGCTTATGCAGTTTAATTTGTTTCCACATCCATCCTCCCTTGGGATCAGACCACAGTGGGATCAGAGGCGTTAAAATGTCTTGTAGGGTGGTAAATGCAGCATAACCAGATGACATCATGCAACTGAATGACAGTAATTGTTTTAAGATTAATGAAATTTTGAATCGTTTTTATTTTTTTTTAGGCAGTGGACAAGCTTTCTCTCTGCAGCGTCAACAGCAGTTTACGTTTACATGTACTCCTTCTACTACTATTTCTTCAAAACAAAGTGAGTTTTAGTTCCTTTTCCTCAAATGTCATTATATAAATGCTTTAAATTTAAATGACTGATTTACTCACCCTCAGTCCAGTCACTCGAAATGTATAATTTCCTTTCTTTTATGGACTATAACAAAGCTATTTTGCTGAATTTCTAAGCTTTCTAAGAGAAAATGTTTCCTCTTAAGTGAAAAGCTCTTATAAAGCATTAAAATATACCATAAAAATAGTAGAAACTACATTCTAAATCTGTGTGAGGAACATATCACTTTTTACACATTTCTAGTTACTTGTGTGAAATGCAAATATATTGTAAAAGTATATCGAAAAGTATAAATAGTTTATCATTTTCATTTAACTGATTTATTATTTGTCTATGTGTAGATGTATGATCTGATACCAATAATTAGCCTGTACTCATTTTTTTCCCCAGGATGTATGGCTTATTTCAGACATCGTTCTATTTTGGCTACATGGCTGTGTTCAGTACTGCTCTGGGAATCATGTGTGGTGAGTACAAGAAACAAAATCACTTCTCTAGTACTGTGATTGATAAATGTTGCTATCTGGGAAAGGGATTGACACATTTGACTATCGTTTTCTCTTTATCTCTTTGTTTTTAGGAGCTGTGGGTTACATGGGAACAAGTGCCTTTGTGAGGAAGATCTACACAAATGTGAAAATCGATTAGAAACTCTGCATTGACACTGCGGATCAGTTGACACTTCCTCCCGATCGAAGCGGGCACAAAGTCTCCATTTATTTTGCAAGAAGAGATTGTGGTATCTTGTATAAAATCTAGTTTTCCATTCTCAATGAATTAAAAGTTGCGGCATGAAGCATACACAAGGGTAAAATAAACAGGACTTTTTATTTTATTTTTTAGTTTTATCTGCTTTTCTTTACTACCTACGGAGGAAATGCAGGCAGTAAAGGCAGATAAAAGGGGAAAGTACACCACAGCGTTGCTCCTATTTCTTATAACTCTATCCCACCTAAAAACCATTGAACAGATCTTTATTGATGGAATAGTCTAGCTCTCTTCAGTGAAGAGGCCAAAGTGTATGGAGAGCCTTTGTTCTATTATATGAGAATATTTGAGAGTGAGGTTTACGTCCATCCACTTGCTTGTCTGTTTTGTATTACAGAGTCGTACAATGCCATTGTTGTAGTATTGTTTTACATGCTTATGAATGACACCAAAAGCATAATGTGGTTTGAAATTCCAAAATACAATTTTTTTTCATTCATAAATAAATAGAAAAAACCAACATGATGTGAAACAGCCAGGTTTTAGCTCTACCTTTTGAGGGCATCTGTTTTCCTGTAGCTCAGATCCACAGACCAGAGCAGGATAGAACTTGGCACATCAGATAGAGTTCGCTATCCGCAGCAGATTCTAGTGAGACTGATGATCTGAAATAATGGTTTGGTGGCAGATAGTTTTTAATGGGTTGTGTGATGTGATATTTCTTTTTCCAATTCAGTCTTATGTTGTTGTTTGGGTTTGAATGAAGTCTGCTCGTAAAGATAATATATGGAGGGGGGTGGCCATGTATATAACCTTAATAATGTAACTAGATGTAGATCCCAAATGTATTTTGGTTGTACAGATTTATTAAAGGGTGTTTTTTCTTTTTTTTTGGACAGTCAGTTTAAGGTTTTTCATTAGTTTTTATTTTTTTTTTGAAGGTTGGGGTGGGCTTGGTGGCACAGTTACATCTTGCCTGATATTGCATGAATTTTTCACCAGATCATATGATCAGATTATATTTGTTTGTTTTTTAAGCATCATTACACTTTAGGTGACCCCCATCAGTACCCTTGTTCATTCGCATCTTGTAGAACGGTCTCAAAAATAAGTGCTTCATTGACTTTGTGCTGCTCAGAGGAGTTAGTCATCAGCTTTTTTATTTTATTTTTGGTTTATTTAAAGAGTTGAAAGGCTATTCATTGTCTTGGACAGCCGTCTCCCTCGTGCTTATTTTTGCATCCATGATCTGAACCAAAATTGTGAATGTCACACAATTTAGGCACACATGCTAAATCTCTGCAGACATACTGTACAAAGTGAAGTTATTGTACACTTTACTAGATGTTTTCATGGTTACTAAATGGAGACACACTTAGACCAAGCTGTTGTTCTTATTTTTCTTATGTTCCATTGTGTAAATACAGTATGTAACTAAAAAAAAAAAAAAAAAAAGTTTGAGAAGTGGCAAAGCCTTTTTCTAAACCTCATTCCTCCCAGTTTAAATTTTTTTATTTCTGGTTCTTCATGTCATGTTTCATGTGAAGTCTAAAGAGACATTTTAAACACAATATTAACTTGCTGTAAAAAGGAGGGGAAAAAAGAAATAAAGATTGTTTTTGAGGTTATGTGGGCATGGTTTATATATGAAGGAAAAGTTGTCATAATTAAAATTTCTGCCCAAGGACAGCCGAGTACTTGATGGGAACTACAAGAATTACACACGAATCAGTATGTAATTGATTGCACTTTTCAGTAGAATAAACAAATGGTGTGATGACAGCTTCATCTGTCTTTAACATATTACGTGTGTTTGTCTAAATAACTTGTAATACGATGACAGTCTTGGTTAAGAATCAGTCTCTACACCATTGTACCTTTCAGCTGAGAACTCACCGGTAGGCCCTCAAATTTACTTTAACCTCTAGGTCGTTCAACCTCTTTTGTACAAAAGGGCAAATTTTTAAGCTGCTGTGCTTACAAATTATTTGACCTCACAATCTTTAATCAAAATGCCAAACATTCTTTGCTCGTTGAAGCACTTTGAACTGAAAGCATCTGCTATGGCAAAGCGACAAATCCATGACAGTGCGGTTTTTATTTGGACAGCATAGCAAATACATAAATCAAAACAGATCTGATCTCTAATAACTGCTAACATACTGATACAAGAAGTCTATAAATAATTATTTATTTTGGATATGGATTATGGGCTTGCTTCGTTTTAGTGCTAAGATCTGCGTGATCTGTCAGTACCAGTAGTTTTCAGTTGACCTTCTCAAAGTATTCCTTTGAGCCATCTGGAGTTGGCTTAATCTAAAACAAACAGAAAAGGCAAATACATAAATGCAAAGCCAAAACATCAACAAACCCTTACATTCCACATCTATGGCCATGACAGAGTTACTAAGTTCACTGCTGGCCAAATACTACCAATTCACAACAACTAAAGCTGCTGTCACTAGAGAGTGCAAAACGTCTATGGGCAATGCACAGCGAAATTTACATGATTTGCATTTATGTTTCCGGTTTCCCGCATACATGTGAATGGAACTCAATTGAACGGAATGTGTTAAGGTGACTGGCCCCTTACAGTTTATAAAGAATGCACAGGTTTATACTACTAGTAAGAACAGTAAATACTCACTGTGGGTGACTTTGGGGTCCAGCTGGCAGGACAGACTTCACCGTGGGTCTCCACAAACTGGAAAGCCTTGACTAGACGGAGGGTTTCCTCAACAGAGCGTCCAACCGGCAAGTCATTTACACTCATGTGTCGGATCACTCCATTAGGATCAATAATGAAAAGACCCCTATAACGTGAAACATCATTTAGTGATGCATACGTTCCTCCTGAAAAGCAAATTATGGAGTCTAACAATGCATGAAAACATATAGGAACTAGAACTTGTAGGAACTTGTTTGTAAAAGTGCCGCAACTTCATGTTACCTTAAAGCAATTCCAGGACCCTCCAGCAGGACCCCATAGTCCCGGGACACTTGCTTTGTGAGGTCAGCCAACAGGGGAATGTGGATTTTCCCTAATCCTCCACTCTACAGATAAACCAAGAGTTTAGTCTGTGAGCTTAAGATTTCCTATGAATTGGGCATTTCTGTTGCTAGTTTCCCAATAACCTGATCCTATTTAGAGAGCTGAGAATGTGTTTAAATTGTAATGTGCATTTTAACTTTGCTTAGCTGCAATGTGTACATGGCCTTTTCAAAGTAAAGTATAAACCTTTCTCGGGGTGTTGGTCCAGGCCAGGTGGGTAAAGTGAGAGTCCACAGACACACCAATTACATCACAGTTTATATCACGAAACTCATTGGCCTTGTCACTGAAAGCGATGATCTCTGTGGGGCAAACAAATGTGCTGCCAGGTAGGAAGAAATTAAGATGCATTACAAAAATAAGTAATTTAACAGTAAATAATTGATAATAATTCAATATTTAAAAATGTAATTAAAATGGAGATCAAATTAATACATATTTATTTGAATAAATTATTTAAAAAATAATTAAAATGGAAGTTCTGTTCTTTTGAATGTTATATAGCTATAATAAGGCAATCTTAAGCATGATGAGTGCATGCTGTATTTCCACAATTCAGATGAGAGTTTGTCTCAGATTTTCCAAGTTATTTTTTTTAATTATTAGGGTTCTATACTATTGAACTTTACTTAAATACTTTAAAATACAACTAAATTCTATGCATCAAGCTGTAGATTCAGTAGTACAAAAACAATAAATTGCACACGTACAAACTTAGGAAGAAAATGAAAAAAAAAAAATGTATGCTGCTTACAAATCTAGTGGGTAAAAGAAAAGGACCAGGTATTTGCCCTTGAAATCTTCTAGGCTGATCTCCTTGAACTCTCCATTGAGAACAGCAGTGCCTTTGAAGTGAGGGGCTGGCTGAGTGACCGCTGGGGCCCATCTAGCAGAGCCTGATATTTACAAGCACACATAATGGATTAGTAAAGATATTAGATTTAATTAAAGGCAAAAACCTCATTACTTTCTAAGACTTACTGATTGAGAAGCAAGCTTTTTGTGCAGCAATGCACGCAAGGGGTTTAGGAGCCCTGATCACTGATGCTCCATTGTGAGTGACCAAGGCTTTCACTCCATTAACTGCAGCTCTTCCTGCCTGTTGTGAAAAGGAGGGACATGCATGAAAGAGTCGTTACACAAGTTTGTTATCACCATGCCCCTGCACCATATGTACATTGTAAAATATTTAAAACTATACAGGCTCACTGAATAAGAGGCACATTGCACGAATGCTGTACACTTGAGTTTTATATTAACTGTTTTATATACATTTATCTAACAAAAACTGACTACTTTTCATGTTAGATTAAAATACATCAAACTGTTAATCATTTACTTATTATCATTTAATAATTAAAAAAAAAAAGGTTTTCACAGTATAGCTATGCTTAACAATTGTTTATGCACTGGTAATTAGTCTGACAGTTATTTGACAGTGGACGTTATATAATCAGTTTAAAGGTTAAACACCGTAAAACGTATCTGCTAACTAAACGATGACTAACAGGATCAAACTAAATCACATTTGCACCGAAATGCAAATCAACACGTATTCCTCGTAATAATCGTTCGCAGCAGAAGTGTTACTATCGCTACAGCTAAATGAAACTTACAGAAGTCCCGAAAAGTCTCCCGATGGTGGCTGCCATCTTGCCAGTGTGCTTAATGCAATGCGCAAAAAAACACCTTGAGCATCAAAGCTGCGCACTCATTTTGCATTAGTTGCGCAGCACACACACACACACACCCCTACATGCAATTTTGCAAGTTTTTAAAATCATATTTGATACATCAGCGTTTTATGGCTCATGTTAAATAGTGAGAATATGGAGCTCACTCGAGGAGGCAAAAACAAGTTAATTTACAGCAAAAATATGCAGCTGCTGTTATTTATATGGCATGGGCCAAAACATAAGATGAAACAAAGGACTCATGTACCACGACCTGAAGGTGGACATTTTTAGAATTATACTAAAAGGTATTTTAAGGCATGTAATAGATTGTGTGCAACAGGCAAAGTTTGATGATGTTGATAATTTAAAGTCCTTAGAAATGCATGCATCAAACTGAT